TAATAATTATTGAAAACAGTGCGGAATTTCATGTTCCTAGCTATATAAATGGAGGAGTTATAACGAAAAATTTTATATCTGAACAATCAGTTGTATGGGAGCTATAGGTTATAGTGACCCGATATTTTTAATTTTCACTGTAAGTTTTCTGTTGATAATTATTGAAAACAGTGCGGAATTTCCTGTTCCCAGCTATATAAATGGAGGAGTTATAACGAAAAATTTTATATCTGAACAATCAGTTGTATGGGAGCTATAGGTTATAGTGAACCGATCTCTGTAATTTTCACTATAAGCATTCTGTTTATAATGGGTGCAAGTACTGCAAAATTTCATGTTCGTAGCTGCATAAATGGAGAAGTTATAACGAAAAATCTCATATCTGAACAATCAGTTGTATGGGAGCTATATGTTATAGTGGTCCGATTCTTCCGGTTCCGACAAATGATTAATACATTATAAAAATACACCCACCTACCAAATTTGATCAGGATATCTCGAAAACTGAGAGACTAGATTGCATACAAACAGACGGACAGACGGACATGGATAAATCAACTCAGCTCGACGTTCTGATCATATAAGTATACATTTTAATGGGTCTATTTCTTTTTGTTCTGGTACTTACAAACATCGAACCAAAGTTATAATACCATTTCATGCTCATGAAAGGTATAATGATAACGTCTCCTCCAATTCCAAAGGAGCAAAGTGTATTGAAATTTGCTAAAGTTACGGTAGTGTTCTTTAACATTGCGTGAAAGCATTGATTCATAGGTCGTAAACGCATCTGGCAACGCTATGGATTTTATTTCGTCTATGTGAGACCTCATGGTCAGCCAGCATAACCAAACCTAACCTTCGATTCTTACTGGAGTCTAGAGAAAAGAAGTCTGATGAGGAAGTAAGTCCAGAGCGAGTTACAGTTCGAAGATCATTTAGAGGTTGGAAAAGCCACTTGCTAGTAAAAAGTTACAAACAAAAGTTACGTGTTTTTATCCTTGGAATCGGAAAATGTAGTAAAAACATGTAAATATAATTTGAAAAAAATAAAAAAAGTAAAAAATGGACTTCCGGTCAGTTTAAGCCACTTCTGGCCGAAACAGGAAGTCGGTAATACCACCAAAAGATTGAGAATCCCCAATTTTTACGTACAATTTTTGCGGTTTTCAATAATAAACTAAGTATTCCCTCCATTTTAGAGGGCGTGTGGACGTGTGGTCTAGGACACTCTGTATATGTAAGTACATATGTACATATATACTATGTATGTATGTGTATATGAATATAAACGTCTTCCTTTGTTACTTGTTTTAATAGTAATCTAGAACTTATCCGCAAACCGCTGTTTACATTGAGGAGGCATTTCTGCCGCCAACCATCCAAGATTTCCGCTGCAATCGCCATATTGATTTTTCATTTTACTATAGTAAATATGATGATAGAGGAATGAAATAACTTCTCCATGGTACCTCAACTATGAAAATTGGTCAAGACTTGGTTTAGTAATTAAAATTCCTATGAAACTGCTTTGAAAGATTGCCCTGAAAAAATTGGATTGGACTTTTATCCAGAACTTGAAAAAAAAACAGAAACGAGATTTGAGCCAACTCACCAATGGAGGGATTTGTATGTATAACATTTGGAAAAGTTATCTTTACATTTATTGTTGCGAATGCTCAAACTTTTCGCATTATTTCTCAACAGAATATCTTTCTAATTTCTGCCTCACAAGCGCTCCAGGTAACGAATGATATAGAATCGAGGCAAAATATTTTCGTGAGCCATAAAAAAAATTTAATTTGATGATTCGCATGGGAAAGCAACAGCAAGAACTTGTGTTGTGAGGCATCCTAATGAACATTTGTGACTATATTTATTTATGATTATATTTTGGCAAGAATATAGATTAATTTGTCCAACGCGCAGACTGTCCCTGACCTAGTACTATATTGTATTCATGCAAAGCAAACGTACGAAAATCTCACATCAACATATGCACATACATATGTATGTATGTATGGTTCTACAAAATGCATGAGCATTCAAATGCAAGTGCAGACAATTTATGAAGAGAGATTTAAATTCTAACATACTTAAGTGTGCATGTATTTACATAAGTGGGATAGATGTTAGATATGTTAAGAATGCTTTTAAATGCATTTATTATAATCTCAATGTATTTACATATGGATGAACGTAAATAACTATGTTAAGCACTTCACAATGGCATGCATTTGCGTTTGCTTAAACTATGTTTATATTCATATTATATGCATGTATTCGTTTCTAGGTATGTACATATGTATGTATGTAAACATAATTGTTTTCATTCATCTCATAAGTATGCCTTTACTCACCTGTCTTCCATGCGTGGTCGTCGTCCCAGCAAAGCATAGACGGCACTCTGTTGACGCACCTCTTCCCAAGACTGATAATCACCATGACCGCTAGCTTCACTCGTCATTTTCATGCGATTCGTCCTCTGACGGCCAAGTGTCGTCTGTATACGCCCCAAAATGCCACGACTCCAGGCATCCACGGCTTGCAAGTAGATTAAGAAAATGAATAGAATCACACCGAAAAATATGACTTCAGGGCGTAGTACATAAAGGCGACATAGTTTCCAAATGTACGCCAATGGCGAATTGATGGACGAAAAGCCCACAGCGAATTTTGATAAAATCTTCATGTGGGAAACGTAAGCTTGATAGAAGACTTTATCCTCCAACTCGTCATCCATGTGTCGCAAAGGAAATTCACAACTTTATTATGTGTATGAGAAGGGATTAATGATGTGATTTATAGTTTATTCAAAGTTTATATACGCAGTTGGTACTGGTGTTTAGTACGTAGTCAAATGTTTTGTTGTATTTTGTTTACTTAATTTGCCCTTTAGTTCCAATTTTTGAAATCGATTGTTTTGTCTAGCAGAGAAGGATAATATTTATGTAGTTTAATCTATTGACTAGCCCAACGAAATTTGCAATGCAAATTACGTGGGGCTGCTGACACTGGAGTGGAGAAGATAACGTTGCGCGTATTAAGTAGCATACGTAATAAATAAACCAAACATGTGAAGGTCGAACGGTGTTCAAAATATAAGCGAATTGTTTATTGGTGTTTGTTAAAAAAAAAAAATTATTTAAGTCTAGCCGTTTTATATTACTTTCAGCGGTTTGATTTTAACTTTGTTGGTTGATGTATGATACTTGGTTTGTTTTTCAATATTGTTTTACTGTGTGCGACGCTAAACTGTGTTATATGAAATTGATATCTTAAAACCGCGCACCCAATGCGGTTGCCTTTATTAATCCTCGAACAAAAGTCGTGCTACTCATATTAATATCGAATAAAGTCAGGTGCATAGTATGCGTACAATTGCATACATATTTATATGCAAACAAGTTTTATATTCACTAATCCAAAGCGAATAACCACTACATACGTTGTATAAGTAGATTTAAAACCTATTTTTTGCTTCTGCTGTTATTTTTAGGGTTTATGTGTACTTCCCCCGTCACAAAAACCGTGACCATAAAATTAACATGGGACCCAAAGCACGTATTCACTATTTTCCCTACGCCAGGCAAGAACACATGCCACCGTTCATCAAACTCTTTGGCAAAGTAAAGATTATGGTTGATGATTTCGGCCGCAATTGGGGCCAACTGATGAATGGGTGATATTGTGGGTACAACAACTATTGCCAAGTTTTCTTTACATATTGTTGTTGCGAATGCTTTTGCTTTTCACGCTTTTCGCATTATTTCTCCACAGAAAATATTTCTGGTTTTCGCCACACACACACTGCTGTCGTCTTCCACCCAAAAATTCGAGTATATTTTATCTCGTTTTTATTTTTCACAAATGCCCGCCGCCGCCGGTGTCACTGTTGTTGCGTGCCAAAAAATCACAAATATGTATTCTCACTTCACTCCATAGTGCATTTTTCTTTGTTTTTGAATTTCTTTATTTAAAATGACGCACTGGTGTCCATATATTTTATTGATCAATTAAGACCAATAATATGAGGGGAAGTTCACTTTTATATGCACCAACTGCAGTGAATTTAATTGTTCGAAGATGGTTGAATTTTCTTGAAATTGCACAGGGTACATTGACGCCTGTGACACCAACGCACAAATTTTGTAGCACCGCTTCACTTCGAGTGGCCAATTTTTCTAGTTTTTACATACATACAAATTTTAAATTTTATAATTCCTTCGTTAGCCACACTTTATCCACTTGTTGACACTTGCAGAATTTATCGACGACTGAACAAAATACGAGCCCCAATTCGCCCACAAATAGCCCCAAAATAACAACAAAATTGGCGCAACAACAATGCGGAACGGTTGAGAATCGAAACAACAGCTGTGCGCAGCGTTGCCGGGTAAAGTTTAAGATGTGATATTTTGGTTAATTCGCCGGCTTTGATTTCGAGGGCATTGGGAGTCTTTAAAGAATTTTAAGACGGATATTTTAACCTGCCGTCCTCAATTGCTTGAAAATGTCGCTTGTGTTTTAAGGCCTCACCACATAGAAATTCTTTTCTGTGTCACAGGAATGCTTTTGTCTTTTTTTTTTTGCTTTTGACAACACCACTTGCCTAATGAGGCTAATTTGCCTCATTATGAACTAAATACGACAATGAATACACGCCATTATTTTAAAACGAATACCTGCGCGTACAAAGCGGTATATCTGGCAACGCCAATTTAGCGGAATATAAAGAACGTTGCAGAGTGAAATAGGGGGAATAAACAATAGAGGGAATAAACAATAGGGGGAATAAACGGCACTGAAAATCGGCACAGAGTGTCTATAATGTTACGATATAAATAAAGAGCAAAACTGCAAAGGTAAATAAACAAAAGTAAAATACTTCCAATTAAAATAGATTCAATAAAAAAAAAAAACAAAGACCGCGAAGACAATACATAATTACCCATCAAGCATTTCTGTAAATGTTTTTAAAAGTTACTTAAAGTATGCTTGCTATACTTATGTATAAATATATATACATATATAATAATAAGGGTATTTACAGTTTTTTAAAATGAACCTTTTATAAATGTCGAGAGCGAATATTTATAAATCACTTAATTTTAAACGTAAAATGCAAATGTTTACGACAAAACCTAGAAAAAATACTATTTTTTTTTTTTGATGTTCATAGATTGATTAGAGTAATTAGAAGCGATTGCATTTTTGTTTGCATGAACACTAATCAATTATGTACGCGTATGCATATGTACATACCTACATATATGTATTTATGTATGCACATAGTTTGTTTACCTGTTCATATGCACATTTATATCTATGTATTATTCACAAGTAAATATTAAATTAAACATATGACCATAACCATTTAATTTAATATTTCTTCAATGTTGATAGATAATATTCAATTTCTTCATTAAATATTCATCAACTAATAAAATTTGGCAAAACAATGGTGGTTTTCTGCACACACAATTCCACGAAATTTGAGCGTCGTAAGCTTGCGCATGAAATTGAACGACATCATAAAACACTGCTTAGGCGCTCGAATTTGAATGTGTTGTGTGGTGGATGCGCTAGAGACGCAGGATTATTTTCGCGTGTTGCATTTTTGCTGGTGATCAAATCCCAGTTGGAGAATTTTTTTTTTCCTTTCTATTTTATTAAAGTAATTAAATTTTCCTTTTTTTATTTTATCTTGACCTTTGGGGTATATTTTATAAATTAATTTGTATTTATAAAATATATGCATAAAAAATCCCATAAGAGGTCGGGCAGCGTAATATGCTTCGATGAAATTGTAGTTACGGAAAAATATTTCATAGCCACATACCTACATACATATATGTATTTGCGAAAAATTAATAAAAACTTCTTTGTAAATACTTTCTGTTTCAATTCATTTATTCAGTTGCATGTACATAATTTTTTCAATGATTTCGATTTTTTCTTTTTGCCAAATATATTTTTTTTTAAAGATAAATATACTAAAAAAGTACTAAAATTGGTCAAAAAACATTTTTAAACATGTACCTAAAAAATGAACAATCTATGGAATATGTAAAATATGCAAATGGTATTGGGCATCAATTAATCGGAATGATTTTTCATCAAATAATTCCGGTTCTAATTCGCTTTATCGCTCAAAACTTTAGTTTCTTATCATTATAATTGTTTTGCATATAAAAAAGCAAAAATTAAAAAAATAATTAAAAATTGGCAATATTAAGTAAAAATATCAGAATTCCGATTTACTACCCTGCAACACGGAGTATATCAATATACATGTTGCTAGACATTATTTTGTGCCGCTAACAGCGAATTTAACAGAATCCACCACCAAAAAATCTGCAAAAAGTGGATTCCGTGGTTAAAACCTTCTAAATCTGTTAAGTTCCGACACTCAATAGTTTCCATTTGTTGTTTGCATCTTCTCAATAATACATGTTCTCTGGAGGTGTCCTTTCGATTAAATTACCCTTTTTAAAATGTTTTATGAACGAAGAATGCTCGTTTTGTAAACTTTAGGTTTATTTTAGTAAACTTTAAAAAAACCTACTTTAAGTTTATTTTGCTTGTTGGGTATGTAAATTAAAAAAAAAAAGTTTAAAACAAATTAATTTCTTTCAATAAACTTAAAAATAATAATTAAATTAAACGCGGTTTGTCTTATTTAACAACTTCAACATATTGCGTGGCAAAAAATGGAAACACGCAAAAATGGAAATAAGGATAACCACATTACGGCAAAAATTAACACGTAGTTACATACAAACATACGCGCAAGTTAATAACTCTCCATTAAGTTAAGCTCCACCTTAGGTGTCAAATTTATTGGAGCATGGCCAGAGCAGAGAACTTAATTTGAATGCTTTGTATATATGTAATTTAAGTGAAATTAATGCCTTGTGCGTATATATGCATGTGTGTATGTAACATTACAGTGGACGCCAGGTATACGGAACTTTTAATATATTGAATTTCAGATTCATCAGAAATCATTAGAATATTGATATCTATGTTTACTCGCTCAATTCGAAACGATTTCTAGAGCAACCCATTTTAATCGTTGTTTGTGGTTGGAGAAACAACTTGCCGTGGAGCTGCTTCGCAACCTTCTACTTCGGGCTTCCATTGAGCCAATCCCCGGACTTATAGTACAGTCAATCTGGCTCTATTTTTAGATGTACCTGGAAAAAACTCCGCACACGATTAAAAGGGGACAATGCTGTTCAGAAAAATATCTTAATAAAAATTAGATGTCCAATCTATTAATTTGGTAGGAATATTGTTTTTTAAATGAAATACAAATTATTGCCAATTACCGCATCGCTGAAAAAAAAACAAGTGGTCGAAATTTATTAAAGCCTAAAAGGACTGCGTCACGGTTATATCAACAATTTTATAGTTTTTTGTACCTGTTACCAATTTTGAAAAAAACCCGAGTTTTTAGTGCCGATTAAAAATTTTGAGAAAAGCGGAGTGGTATACGACGTGCTTTTTAATACCGCTTACCAAATTCGAAAATTCCGAGTTCTTAGTAACATTAAAAATTGGTTATTCGCAAAGAAATTGCGATAAATAATTGTTTTCTAAATTAGGGAGTTTAAGTATAAAAAATTTCAGTACCGATACATATAGGTAATAAAAGAATATACATACATATATACATATGTTTAAAAATGGAAATACATATAATAATCGTGAAAAGTTGGCTCGATGAGCTGCATGGTCTCTGGAGAGTCGGCATTATCAGGTAACTATTGAAACAGCAAGCGAAAAAAAATAAAAGGGCNTCGATGAGCTGCATGGTCTCTGGAGAGTCGGCATTATCAGGTAACTATTGAAACAGCAAGCGAAAAAAAATAAAAGGGCTGAACTGCGACAGGATGCCTCCTGATGACGCCCCAACACCACCTACATGACGAGGCCCAGATGCTCCCAGTAAAGGAGCATAACATAATGCTCTGAAAGCAGTTCCTTGCTGGGAGCCACAGACGTGGCCATCCCAGCGGACAGCTGCTCGCGGAAGAGCCCTCGCCACGGCACGTCTGGAGGCATCTTTACGAACTGCCGGACGAACTCCAGAGGTTTATCAAACAACCTCTGGACCCGTCAACCTACCGACAGGCCCTGAACGGCATTCACAGGGAATCAGTCTCAAGTTATGTAGACTCCCGCCCTGTGAATGCTGTTCTAGGCACGCAACCACCGGACGTGGACGGGACAGAACTTTGTCTACCTCGGGAGACCCGCACTACAATAGCCCAACTTCGCTCTGGCTATTGCAGCAGGCTCAACTCCTACTTGAGCAGAATCAACGAGGATCTGCCCAATCAATGCCCGGCATGTGGAGAGTCGCCACATGACTCCCGGCACCTCTTCACATGCCCTGAGAACCCCACTCAGCTAACGCCTCTGTCCCTATGGACAGCCGCTGTGGAAGTAACACAATTCCTGGGCCTCCCCCTAGCTGAAATTGACGACAACGTTGATGGATGAACCGCCCCGAACTGGGCTTAGTAGCCGCTACAACAACAACAACAACAAAATAAAAGGGCTGTTCGGGATATTGTGGAAATGGTCTTGGATTTACATCCTAAACAGCACTAAAGTATTTTTGGAAAACGGCATTTTTAAAAAATGCTAAAACTTCGATTCGAATTTTGAAATCGGTTAAATCCCGCCCACTTCACATATTACAGCATTTAAAAAAATGGAAACTGCGATATTTTAATTAAAATTACAAAAGAGGTGGGTAGGGTACTGTGGCCAATGATAAAGTTCATTTATCACCATCACATCATTTATCACAGAGTCCGCAAATGCCTCGGAAGCATTGTCAGACTAGGCCGAGTATACTTTGAAGTGCCATCGAATTATAACTTAAGAAAGTTTTTTATACCCGAGCGCACTTGATCAGAAATGATCAGAATGAAAAAAGAAATCGATTAAGCCATGTCTGTCTGTCC